TTCGCCAGCCGATTCGCCTCAAGAGCATCCTCCGTGGCCTTCTGGTTCACCTCTCAAGCAACGTCCATCATTTCCACGTTGACCAATCTAGTGGCCTCCTGCATCTCAGCCAATGCAGTCAGGATTGGGTCGGGTTGACCCTCAACAGTCTCGCGGGTTCTCCTGGGTATTACCATAACTCTGCACAAGTTACACAAAATCATGAGTTGATCAGGCCCATGCAGTGTGATCACATATGCATCATCATAATAACACTCAATGAAGCAAACACACAAGACAGACACAACCAAGCATCCTAGTTATTGCAATATACAAGCTTTTTCCTCGAACCATTGCTCTGATACCGTAAAATGTAACACCCCGTATATATCCGGTATGTTATCATATCATCGTATTAAGCTGCGCTTAATTAAAATACAGAATATCTTTTTCTTTTTAATTATGATGTCATTAATTATTACCAACTTGCTTACTTAATCATTTAATAAAACATTGCCTGTATGTAAATTGCAAAAGACAGCTAACTAAAATACCTCATTAATTAAACAACATAAATATGTCTCTAGTCACGGAACTACAACACGTAGACCGGACAACCCTGATAGTTTATACAACTCAGTTAAACTAAAACATAATAGAAACCAAAGTGGCATGGACAAACCCCATGCTCACCCAAGTAAGGCACAATGCCCAACAACAGTCTCAACAGCAGCAACAAAATAAAAGCAAGCTATCCAGCATCCAACCATGTCAACATATAAACAGTAATATCATCAACTAAGCTCTGGCCTCCTGCCGCCAGAGGCATCAGCCCCCAAGTTACCTGATCCTGAAATAAGCGTCCCAAACGTGGGGTGGGATCTCTAAACAAGAAATCTCAGTAAGACAAGGGGTCCTCAAGGATCTTCCACCCCAAGCTCACTTACATGTGCAATATAAGTTCAAAAAGCATTAACTCAATATAAGTTCCAAAACTATGCAGTGCAACAGATATTCATATCATGCGTGTTTAACTATTCTACTGGCCAGAGAAATGCAAAAATACGTCTATCACCTACATTTAGTACAAGGAGCACCGCTTTCACCTCACCCACAACCTCACCATATTGTATGTACTACATACTCAGGCTTACCGTATAGGTGGAACACCACATGCATATCCAAAAGACACTGGCATATAACGGCTCAAAAGTATTTCCAAAACATCAAAAGCATGTAACACAGCATGCATATAACCATACCCCCATGGGACATGATGGAACCACAACATGGCTAAACCGAGGACACGAAAGCTTACCTTGCAAGCTAGCTATCCAAGCCAAGATTCCACACAATCTCAAAGTCCAAACACAACAGTATCACAATCTGTTATGGACCAATAATATATCATTAATCATACTCTACAAGCATACAACTTAAAGACAATGCCTTTTCTTTACGTTTTACGTCTTAAGGCTTCTCTCCAAGCCATAAGCCCTTAATCACTTGATTCTGACTTAGTTCAATTATTACAGAAGTTCCACTTCATCAATCTAGGGTCCACAAACCCCCAATAGCCTACTGTATGAACAGTGCAGCTACTGTTCTTCGAAATCCCAGAATATCCAGATATATGTCGGGGACATATCCGGATATCAATATCCGGATATGCATATCCGGATATCCATATTCGGATATCAGAAAACCCCATATCCGGATATCAATATCCGGATATTCACAACCAAATATCCGGATATTTCGCGACAGAACCCAGATTCTGCATTTTGTGAAAATCTAAACCAAAGGTCCAACTTTTACCGATTACAGAAGCTTAAACATGCATTTCTAAGTGTGTTAAGCATTACCCAACGTTAGGTTATCATCTTTAGCTCATTACATGCATCAAGGTTCCATTTTTAACCACTTAGACTCATGATCAAAGGTGATGAAGCTTACCCAAGCTTAAACTCAGCAAATAAACACTCTTAGAGCTTCCCACCAAGTCCTCACAGTTCTGACTATGAAGAGAAAAGAAAATAACACACCTCCAAGGTTCTTTCTTTACAAAGATTGCTCCTTGAAGCCTCACAAGCAAGGAACAAAGCCCCTCAACACCCAACCCAGCAAGTCAGCAACCATACCTCCCTCACACTGACTCTTAAACTCAGAAACAAGACCACCACCCCTTACCAAGGATGACTTTCACTCTCACCAAGTATTTGGAGAAGAATTTGTGAAAGAAATGGTCTCAACGCTCAAGAATGGAGAATAAATGCAATGGAACAGTAGAAAGGAGAGCTGACCAGCCACCACACCCACGTAGAAGAGGTATTATGGCCTAGAGTTTTGCGCTAAGTTAGTATATATAACCACTTTAAAATGAAACACGCAGTATTAAATTTAATTGCTACGCTTAGCATTTTAATCCCAAAACTCAGATTCTTAACCTACTCAACTTTACAAGAGTTATCATTTTTTTATTTTTATTTTTCGGAGCACCTTTCCGGTACGCGCTTTTCATAGCCAGTATCAGTTTCTGGCACCATTTCTCAATATTTTAACTTGAAACTTGTTTTACAAGTCCTATATATTATTCTAGGAATTATCATGCACTTATTATAATTTTCCGGGATACTTTATCGATACGCATTTATACCAACTAGCAGAACTGGTATCTGCATTTTTCTTCCAAAAAGCGACTTTCAGCATTCTTACTCACTTACTATAATTATTAGAGCCTCATAATAATTATTAAGGTCAATTATGAAATTATTTCCTAATTCTCATATTTAATTAATTGATTTCTTTAATTAACGGTGCAGGTTCTTACAAGTTGCATGTTCAACCATCAACATTAGTTTGCATGTTTGAACTGATTTTAAACTCTTTTGAAACCGGCCATAAATCATGAATTGTTTTGTACCATGAATCGATTCTGAATCAGTTTCGAAATCATTTGAAAAAAAAAACAATTTAAGTAAAATAAAATATTTTAATTCTTTGAATTGAATCAGTTTAAACCCATTTAGTTTGGTTCAGAAAAAACCGATTCCAAATGGAACGGCTAGTCCCATATACATGATTTTGGCTGCAGTTGCAAAAAAAACTCCTAAATATTGGGATAATTCAACTGATTCAACTTAGCTGAAGTATCTTAGAAACCATCTTGCTGATATATTATTATCTAAAACACAATTCTAATATACCTCTCTATTTTTACTCCTAAATGGACATGAGCTATATTGAGCTGAAATAGTAGTGCACTTCAAATAAGAAATCTGTCTAATAAAATGGCATCCCATTATTGCCAAGTTTGCCTATATAGAAAGCTCCCCACACACACAATGGCATCCCATAAAATGTCATGTCACCCATGACAAAGAGAAGAATAAGATAGTAGGAATGGTCTTCAAAGTCCATATGATATGACCAATCCTCGTTCGAATTTGGTAGTAAAAGGCCTAAAAGATAGGTATGTCGGGGTGAGAAAAAGGGCAACGTTAGAATAAAAAATGTTACCACTTTTGGGGTAAGGATATCTATGGAAGGAGTAAGGGCCGGAGTTCAAACTCACCAAGAAACGTGGAAACATGACTGTCTCGAAATGCTCAAAACCTCATCTTTGCTACATCATCCCTATCAGCAATTATGGACCACCCTTATAATTGATCAAATATACGATACAATTCTTGTGTTCTCTTCTCTCTCAATCATTTATTTAGGAACTAAACCTATTATCATTAAATGTTGCGAATCCCTAGAAGAAAAGAGTATAGTGGATCATATATATCATCCACTACCTGATCCACCAGTTCCTTTCAACAATAGTCCCATACCTATTTTTATCCCTTTTACATTCAGCAAACTACAGTCCAAAATTCAACTCTTACGAACGAATTCACGTACTCTAGCAGAGTCTTACCAATCCACGGAACAAGACCAATAATAATAGTAATAATGGAAGCCACGGATCAATTCTTTTTCTTTAAACAAACTTTAATTTTAATATTTCAAAATTACATATAATATTATTCAGTCTTTCTAAAAAAAAGTTGACCGGACTATCAATCATTAAAAAAAACATTAATTTAGTCCCTTGCTCATATAAAATTACATTAATTTAATTCCTAAATCAGTGGTTCCATCAACAGTATTCTCAACGTTCTAAAACACTGACTTTGATGTCACTTTTTATAATTGAGTAATTAAATTAGTATAATTAGAAAACGAAAATGAGTTACAATTTATTTTTCATCGGTTCATCAATTACTTGATTAATATAAAAAAAATAAAAAAATAACAGCCGTACGTGTTTCTAAAAATTTGAATTTAAGACCACTATTTAAGCTTGTAAGTTAGTCTTATTTTGAAAGTTTGTCTGACTCTGCCATTGCATCTAACAGAGACAAGAAAATTAGGCTAATAATAATAAGGGTTTAATATTGGCTAATAATAATAAAGATTTAATGTTTCTCATATTATTGGAGATAAATTTATCTCCTATACACATAATAGTATATGGAGTCCATATGGATTCATATGGGAAACTTTTTTCTAAAGAAAAAATATGAATATTACATACTTTTATGTATGTGTAGAAGATAAATTTATCTGACATGTGAAACATTAAATTCTAATAATAATAATAATTTAAAGTAGAATTAGTTACTTAGTTAGCTTTTGCAGTATAGTGGTGACATCATACTAAATGAAAGATGACAAAAAGAGTGGCACAGGAAAGTTAGCGAAGTGCCACCACCATACGTGCCTGCAAATGAATGCAGCTTTCGTGCGCCATGTTTCGCAATTTTCCTGAGGATAACAATTCCGACATATTCAATGAGAGAAGATAAAACTTTTGGTTTTTTGTTTGTTTCTCTTATCCACAATGTCATCTAATTTACCATTCTTACGAGGGGCATGATCACCCTTCCGTTTATAAATTGAGGGGCTTGAAGGAACTTTAAGCATTAGCTTCTCATAGTTGAAGTAACATTATTAAAAAGAAAAGAGTTCTGACCATGGCTGCATCATTCTTAGTGCCTTCATCCGTAAGCTCAATACCCTGCACTCTTGTTTTGCTTTCTTCTCAGTTTATTGGTTTTTCTTAGTTCTTGAACTTGTGCAACAGCTAGATTTATGTACTTAATATTTATGGTCTATTGGAAATTTATTGAATTAGTTCTTTGAGTGTTAATGCCAAGCTCAAAATAATAGTTCTTTGAGTTCGGAATATGCAGCTGTGTTAAAAATTTATTTGGGAGAACTTTGTCGCGGTCTTACCCGACTCAATCGGATTAGTCGAGTTAATCGATAAATTAATAGAGAAATTTTTTAAAAAAAGAAGAAAATGTTGTTCATATACAACACTTATTTTGCGTTTGAATTTTGGCCATAATTTATATGATTTATGTTTTATAAGTTGAATGGCCCCAACTCCAGGAATTGTTCATGTTACATTGTGCTGGTGGCAGGAAAAAAAAGGACTCCAATTAATTTAACTTCTGTGATTCGTTTTTTATTTTACTCTTGATTGTATATGTCTGAACCTTATAGTACACAAACCCACATCCTAAGTTGTCAGCAATCCTATTGGGCATTATGCTTTCATTATTATTTTCTTTGGTTGATCCGTAATCAGTGATGGTAAAAAATAAAAGCTCAAGCATTTTTATGCATGGAAAATGTGGTAATTATGTCTAATTGATTATATTAATAATTATTGGATTAGGATTATACGAATATCAATGATTGAAAATACAAAATTATTGTTCTACATAACCTCGTTCATTTTAGTTTTTTTTCAATCACAAATTTTGTTTTCCATTTTTGTCTAGCAGTTGAAGAATATATATTGCAATTATAGCTTGTTTGATTTTTGAAGAACATTCTTTTTACAGATTTCTGATTATGCAATCATGGACAAAAAGAAGAAAAGTTTTAGGATTGTCTTTTTAAGAGAGGAAATGATTGATTCCTCTATCTGTGATTTCTATACTTGAGAGATTAAAATGGTCCTAAAAGCTATGACATACAAGAAAAGTATTATAATAATAGCATGATACTTTGTGTACAATAAGTGTCAACTCAACCTGTGAAATTTAACTTATAAAAAATGAATCATATTGGTTTCATGGTTTAGTAAATGTTAACTCAAATTAAATGAACAGATAATTGAAGAAGAAGCAAGGTTTGAAGCCGAAGTGGCAGAGGTGCAAGCATGGTGGAACTCAGAGAGGTTCAGGCTAACACAAAGATCATACTCAGCTAGAGATGTGGTGGCCCTACGAGGCAACCTCAGACAAACCTATGGTTCAAATGAGGTGGCTAAAAAGCTCTGGAGAACTCTCAAGACCCACCAAGCCAATGGCACTGCCTCAAGGACTTTTGGTGCACTTGACCCCGTTCAGGTCACCCAAATGGCTAAGCACTTGGACACCATTTATGTCTCTGGGTGGCAATGCTCTTCCACTCACACCACAACCAATGAACCTGGTCCTGACCTTGCTGATTACCCTTATGACACTGTCCCCAACAAGGTTGAACACCTATTCTTTGCTCAGCAATACCATGATAGGAAACAAAGAGAGGAGAGAATGAGCATGAGCAGGGAAGAGAGAGCAAGAACCCCTTATATTGATTACTTGAGACCAATCATAGCAGATGGTGACACTGGTTTTGGTGGCACCACAGCAACTGTTAAGCTTTGTAAGCTCTTTGTGGAGCGTGGTGCTGCTGGTATCCACATTGAGGACCAATCTTCTGTGACAAAAAAATGTGGCCACATGGCAGGGAAAGTGCTAGTTGCCATCAGTGAGCATATCAATAGGCTTGTGGCTGCAAGGTTGCAATTTGATGTTATGGGGGTGGAAACAGTTTTGGTGGCTCGAACTGATGCAGATGCTGCTACTTTGATTCAATCCAATATTGACACACGGGACCATCAGTTCATCTTGGGTGTGACCAACCCAAGCCTTAAGGGGAAGAGCTTGGCAACTCTTATGGCTCAAGGCATGGCTGCTGGCAAGAGTGGTGCTGAGCTTCAAGCTTTGGAGGATCAGTGGCTATCAATGGCACAGTTGAAGACTCTCTCAGAAGCAGTTGCGGATGCAATTAAGAAACAGAACATTGGAGGGGAAGAGAAAAGGAGGATGTTGAATGAGTGGATGCACTATTCAAGTTATGACAAGTGTCTTTCCAATGAGGATGGTAGAGACATTGCTGAAAGATTAGGGGTAAGAAACCTCTTCTGGGACTGGGACTTGCCTAGAACAAGAGAAGGGTTTTACAGGTTCAAAGGGTCTGTGAATGCAGCAGTTGTTCGTGGCTGTGCTTTTGCTTCACATGCTGATCTTGTATGGATGGAAACAGCAAGTCCCAATATGGCTGAATGCACAGAGTTTTCTGAGGGGATTAGATCAAAGCACCCTCAGATGATGCTAGGATACAATCTTTCTCCATCTTTCAACTGGGATGCTTCTGGCATGACTGATGAACAAATGAGAGACTTCATTCCAAGGATTGCAAAGTTGGGATATGTCTGGCAATTCATCACAGTGGGTGGTCTACACTCTAATGCACTCATCACTTCAACATTTGCAAGGGATTTTGCAAATAGGGGAATGTTGGCTTATGTGGAAAGGATTCAGAGAGAAGAGAGAAACAATGGGGTTGACACACTTGCTCATCAGAAATGGGCTGGTGCTAACTACTATGACAGGTACCTAAAGACTGTCCAAGGAGGTGTAGCATCAACTGCTGCAATGGGAAAAGGCAAGTCATGCATACACACCAACATTACCATGCTTTCTTTATGTAAACTTAAGTGAAAAGATTGAAAGTTTTTGATTAATATTTTTTTTGCCACCTTATATGTTTGTTTTGCAGGAGTAACTGAAGAGCAATTTAAAGAAACATGGACTAGGCCAGGAACTGTTGACATTGATAGAGGCAGTATGGTGGTTGCTAAGGCCAGAATGTAAAAGAGTTACTTCTGCTGAACTATGCTGCTGAATGAGGAACTTGGGGAAAATAAACCAATTCCTGTATTGGATTGGAATAAATGTCCACCATAATTAAATAGGCCATTGAATCATTCTGCTATTTTTTGGCTGCATAATTTCTTTTATTTCTTACTTGTTCAGACTCTTATGCCTGGTGGGTAAGAGGAATAAAGAAAACTTGTTTGTGTGTTATGTAATTTGTTTTACTCCTACTGTTAAACATATTTTACTTTGTCCGCTTCTCCCTTCTTATTTTTTCTTGCACACTCTTGAATCCAATAAATGTACAAGAATCAAAATATTTCGTACAGGGATGAGACTAGAGTAATGTAAAGAGATCAAAATTTTAATTTAACCTAAAAAACAATTGCACTAAATATTAGATATCACTTAAAAACACGTGTCATAAATTAGTTAACAAGAGTGTTTTATATTTTTTTTATTGAAAAATATTCTTTTAGAAAATCCATATTAAATTAAGACTTATTGGTCTTTGAATGATAAAATGAGCTTAAGGAGGAGGTACAATGATCTTTCGAAGTGATCAAGAGGCAAAAGCTACAATCTAGCAGTGTTGGGACTTGTGAGTGGATTGGAGGATGGCTGAAGTATAATGGCTAAGCCTAGTGCCAATGACAATGATTACGGACTTTACCTTAATAGGTGCTTCTTAATTGGCCCATCTTTCCTTTTGGACTGGCCTTTCTATTGAGGAATAGACATCATTTTTATTATCTCTCTTCTCCACCAAGCATTTAACTAGAAGCACAAAAAATAAGAAAAATTAAAAAAAAATATTTTAAAAATTACTCTTAGCTATGGCTTTCCAAGAGCCTTATCGACTTTCTTTTCGAATTTTGTTATTTTTAGGATTATATTTTTTTAATTGAAGAAAACACATAGATATTTTTGGTTTTTTATGAGCATTTTTTCAAATACATTTTCGAGATAGTAAAAGTTATTTTGAAAAATGAGCTATTTAATCAAGTTTAAGTTTTCTCATTTTTAAATATTATAAATTCTTAACTCTAAACAAATCCATTTAACTATAATAATTTTTTTGGCAGTTCCATATATATACTCATAATGTTTCGTGATAAATATAGACTTTTTTAATTAATATGCAATTTACACTATAGATTTTGTTGCTTTTTACCAAATAATATTTTAAACAGTCTTCCATAGTAAAAGTAATCTTTAAAAATTTACATCATCCTTGAACGGTGCTTTACCATGAAATTGATAAAGAAAACATGGGATTTCAATTAGATATATTGTAAGAGAATAATATGTTATCTATTTGTGTGAGTGTTTTTTCTTTATTTTGTTTTCAACATTTTTTTAATTGTGGTGGTATCTTTAGATTTCCGCTATTTTCGTGTTGACCTAGGGGATGATAATCGCAATTCATTTTCTGAAGGTGGAATCTGGCATTCTACTACAATAAAATATTAATGTGAACAGTATTCGAATCATCATTCTAAAATACCAAATTAAGGCTAGCTAGCGGGTGCCTAGCACACCATTTAGTCTACCCTGATTAAGACAAATACCAGAGCTTTAATAACTAATATTATTTTTTAACTAACTTTTCAAGAGAATGGTTATATTGATAATTTTTTTTTACAAATTACACTATGTCTGATCGATAATACTCTACTCAATAGTATATTACCAGTAAGACATAATATAGTTTGTAAGAATTTATAAATATAACTTTTTCCACTTTTCAAATACTAATATTATTATTCAGTTCATGTTCCGAAACTTAGTTTGGTGCAAATAAAGTCATCTTTGGAATCAGATTCATCGAATCTTTTTGAAATCATATAGATACAAATCAATTAATAAATTCTTTTAAAAAAATGCAATAAACCCAACATACATGATTAGTCTCTCTTTTTTTTTTGTTCAATGTATAATCGTAGTTCATTATAGATCATACATGTATTGACATAGGAATGATTATTCTTCCAAGCTCAACGTGATGACCACAGAAGCCTGAAAATCTGATCCGATTGCAGTTAGTCATTGGCACTGCTCTAAATGCAGCATGTTTTAGGAGAAACGTGAAGCTCGTGAAGCCTTGAAAATCTTTCTGGTTCAATTTTGGAAACAAAGTGAGGAAAATCTACCGAAAGAAATTTATTGAAATATTGAAACTTATGTTGGGTTGCTATTTATAGCAATAGCAATTAATTCAACTCTATTTATAATAACTACAAGCAATAAGCCAAAAAAGATTATATTAGTCATGAGAAGTTTTAGTAGTTTTCCAAAAGGATTTTGCAAGGACACAATCCTATGGATCAGTGGTGGACTCAGGAAATTTTTTGTATGTATGCACACTTAATGTGGGAGTTTGGGGGCAGTGCTCCCGAAGATTTTTTTAAAGAAAATTTTAAATGTATTAAAAAATATATAAACAAGAAAAGAAAAGAAAAGAAAACTTTAACTTAACATAAAAAAATATAATAATCAAGAGTCAAATAAGCTGTTACAATAAAAAATAAAATAAATATAGAAAGTTATCTTTCATTGAGACTTGTCGAATTATTACGAACCCACAATTTTTTATCCTCCTTCAGATTTTAGGTAAGATCCCGATTTTAACTACCATGGTTGGGCCTATGTTTACTTTTTTCTTTTCAATCTTCCTAAATCTTTTTTTTTTACTTGACCTAAATCACCCACCCCTTTGAAAAAAAAAATCTCAAATTTTTGTGTCTGCATGTGCAAACACAGGCAACAGCGTCAATCCGCCTCTGCTATGGATATAGTCAATTACTCAATATCCCATGGTAAACGAGATGAAGAGTCCAGTTTAATAATAGTCCAAAAGTCTCAAAGACAAAGAAAACTTACTCAATAATTAGTCTCATGACTATCGGCTGTGAGGATACCTGGATGTAATCCAAAAAAGACTTAATCAATAAGAAAACTTGCATATCATGAATACACGCAATGACGCGAATGCATAACTGAAATAACAACAACTCAAGACTCATGAGCCTCTTTAATAACCAATGCCTAAAGATCATGCACAGCTAAACTTATGTATCATGGCCCTCCACTACAAAAAAATGGGTGATTATTGGAGGTTTTTTAGTGGAGGTTAAGAAAACCTCCACTAAATAATGTAATCTTTGGCAGGTTTTAAACCTCCGCAAATTGATATTATGTTTTGCTATTTTAAATTGCTTAAAAATGCATAATAGTTTTTTTTTTATAATTTATATTCTCTTTCTACATTTTATGAAATGCAAAAAGGTGTTTTAAAAAATTTATACTTTTTTTTTAAAAAGAAAATTTGTGTACAGCAACGTAGCACTAACTCCACTAAGCAGCTACAAAGTCTCCTCCCCCTTATTCAGAACTTCAACATTCATTATCAGATTTCTCTCTTCACAGATAACTTCATTTTCCTATGCTTCGAAACCCAGAGTCATTGGAGTTATGGTAACTCACTCGGCTTCAATTTCTTATTGTTTACTACTTAGACTTTTGAATTTTACATATCTCCTTTTTCAGATTCAAAATTTTCAAATTCATGTTTCAAATTTGAAATTGCTCCAACCTGGTCCTCGCTTTTCTCACCATCGCTAATATCCAGTGAGATCGTGAAGCTGAAGATGATTGTGAAATGATATTTGAGCCACCTGCTCGATGGAATTAGCAAGTGCTCGACATGCCATGGGTGCTTCGCGCATTAAGAGTGAGCTATCTTTGTTTTCTTATCGTTCTCATAATGCTTGTTAAACACATTTCATTCTTCTTCTTCTTCTTTATTTTTTAGTAATTTCCTAAGTTTATTCATTTATTTTTGCAGATTCTCAGGAAGTTTTCAAGCAATGGGAGTTACTGGGAGTTTCTCTTCTTCTTCTTATTTCTCTTATGTAATTGTGTTTTGCGAATGAGGTGTTCGATGAATTGACTCAATGAGATTTACTGTGATTTTGTGATTGTTTGTGTTCAGGAAAGAGGCGAGTGGACCATCACTTATGTGGACCATCAGTTATGTCTTGCACGATGCCACTGCCGTCGTGAGTCCCTATCTTCTTACCTGTGATTAGAATATATAAATGTTGATATTCGTTTCACCATTTATGATGATGTATGAGTGAATAAGAGAAGAAGAGAAGAAGAGAAGAGGGTTCTCTGTTTCATAATTCATTTGGGATGTTTCAAGACAGTGAATGTGAGAGGGAATGGATGAGAAGAAGAGTATAAAAAAAATGAGATTGCATGAGGTAGGGTGTGAGTTTGAACTGCATTAATTTGGAGTCTATTGTTTATGTCTCTTGCAAGTTTTTTAGTCTTAGGATGATAGTCCAGTTGTGCTTCCTTACCATATATTAGACCGTTGAAAGAACAAAGGACATCTTCGATGACTTCAATTCCACCACCGACACCGTGTTTGAATTAGGTTATTTGATTATACTGTATTTCATTCTTGTTCAGTGCATTGGTTGATACTATTGAAATTTTGATTCGTAATATTGATGTTGTGAAATTATTTCTTTAAAATTATTTATTTCGAAAAATATTATAACTTGATTGCTTTGTTTCTTATAGTTGAAATGTATATTGTTATGGACGAGAACTTGAGCTATACTGTACATATCCTGTGACAATGGACATAAATGCTGAATTATTGGATAAGAAATAAAGATGGGGATTTTGATTTGATCATTTTGATTGATTGCTACTTTCGTCCATTTTTTTAACTTGGTTGCATACGAAAATTGTCTTATGTTGTTTGGTAAACTAGGCTTCTCCTAAATCTGATGCATTTAAATTTCAGTTCATATTATTAGGTGTTGTTCCATTTCCTATTGATGTTCCTCGCTTGAAGGTCATCACATTGAATGAGTCATATGTGACTTTGGTTCCAACCACATTATATTATGTGAGTATCCTTTCTTTGCTACTTATATTATTAGGTACTGTACTCTACTCACACATATAATATACTTAAT